TAAGCTTTCTGAGCCTGAGTTTCCCCACCTGAAAAATGGGAAATAGCAAACTTGCTTACCTCCTACTGCTTTCCAGAGATCACACACAGTGAAAATATCCTAACTGCTACCTAAATAGCAGTTCCAATAAGCATTTAAAAAGCTGTTTATGTGAGGTGTTTTTGTTTTTAACTGACATAAAGAAAAAGAAGCGGAAAATTTCATTTTCCGGTTACAAAATTGGAAATGCTACTATTTCAGTTGTCTTTTTTAATTACTATTTTTTCCTATTAAGATTCTGGTTCTCAGTGAAGATGAGCCCTTCCAAGAACCACAGGACATTCTCTCCCTCACCTCCTCCTTACTTCCCTGCTGTTGCTTCTTGTAATCAGAGATGGGGTCGTTAGACCAAAATCCTCACATGCTAGCATTTCATGGTTCATGGTTCATGGTTCTCCCAGAATCTGGATTATCTGCTTAGTACTCGCTGAGGTAAGAAAAAATTAGAAAAGACTGCTCCTCTCATTGTCTCAGAAACTAGAAATCTCTTCGAAACCCTCTCTTTTTTTTTTTTTTTTTTTGAAGTTGGTATCTGTGCTCAGTGCCAGGGACAGAAAATAATCTTTTCTTTGCAGCATTTGTGAATTTATTAATCTTTACCATGACATTCTGTTGTTATGTAAAGCCTCTTTCTCATAATTCTACTTGAAGCTATACACATTTTAACATCATGAAACACACACACTGTCTCATACAAACAGGAACTAGGAAAGCACTCCAAAAATGACCTACTGCTGCGCTCTCCTTCCCAGGAGAGCTTTTGTTTTGTGGTCCTCAAAAGAGTTTTTTAAAATCAACACTGCCTACTCAAGGAGGAGCCGTAGGAGTATCTGCCTGCATGTCCCCTGCCTTCAACAGCAGTAACAGGATGCTGATGGGGCAACGTAGGTTGTCCTGCGTCCAGCTCCGGGCGGTGGAAGCTCCGGCACCTCCCCATCCAGTGGCACCACAGAACCTTAGTTACATCATTCTTTATCCGCAGGGCTGCAGTGAGGATGCAGTGAGGTCATATATGCAGAAATGCTGTAAAGCATTATTTAAGGGTCAGCTTCCTATTATGATGTGATTCGCTTATGACAAAACCATTGGTCCCGTGCCCAGGAGCACACACTATGCTGCAAGCACAGTTGGAGAACGAACATAATTCCTTGTGATTGGTGAACCCTCTGTGAAGCTATGTTCTATTTTGATCTCACCCACCAAAAATTCAATAATTCAAGGAAGTGGGAGTAACAAAACTTCGATATCTCAAGGTGATAATAGGAGCTCTGATCCAAAAGGAAACACAAATGCACACCAATGAGCTGCTCTTCTTACAGAGAACACCAGAATCCAGCCTTGCAAAGGCAGTTTCTCGCCTGCATATCCCTGCTGGGAAGTAAAGTCGAATGCAAGTTGCTTTTGCTCTCTTTGCAGCTCTGTCTTGACTGGAGAATGAGGGATGGAGACCAAAACAAATCTGTAGTCTGCATCCAGCTTCCCAAGGAAGCCACCAATCCTATCCTGAGGTTCTTAATGTGTCACTTCAGCAGGAGCCTAGATTTCTCAGCATCAGTTACTGACATGTCAAATATCCAGCTGCAGGGGATGTGGCAGTCTGAGTTGGTCTGGGGGCTAGTGGTTTTGCTGCAGCCTCTCCCACCTTCGCCAGTATTAACGGCGTCGTTGCAGGTGTGTCTTGGCTCCATGCTAGTGAGGCACAAATGGCGCTTACCTGTGCCGGTGTTTGTCCTGCCTGTCTCTGTCAGTTTGTTCAGACTTGGTATGCTGCATCATGCCCCCAAAGCCTGGTTCAATACTGCAGAAAGTCTTCTATGTCTCACTGAACCCATGAAGCCTAACCCCACATTCAGACTCACAGGTGACAGAGGGCTGACAGGAGGGAGCAGGAGCGAGGTGAAAGGCTGTGACCCCCAGAGGCACCCGCAGGCACCAGGGGTGGGACTTGGGAGTTGGTGAGTGGTTTCCTCCAGGAGTGCCTCCCTGAAGGCGCAGCTGCAGTGTAACGGGAGGTGAACACCTTGTCAGTGATTTCTCCAAAGAGCCTATATGATATTCTGCACCTTGTACATGTGACGTTCTGAAATTAATGCCTTTTATGCAGAACTTATCTAGCATTTGAAAAGAAAGGGATGAGATTTAGGGCCTCCGGGAACTGTATGGCATCTTTTCACCAAAACCAGGAGTGTTTGCCATTTACTTGTTGTTCCATATGTGTGTGTGTGTGTGTGTGTGTGTGTGTGTGTGTAAGATGTCAAGTAAACTTTGTCTCCAAAAGATCCACGTTGGAATCATGAAGTTTGCTGAACATCACTGGGGAGTAACACCCTCCAGGCAAACGTCCCATTCACCTGGGCTTTCGTGTCAGCGAGCGCAATGCCCCGCGTTCCCGGCAGAGAGCTTCTGACAGTAGCATCTCTGCTCTGGAAACCTGTTCCCTATCAGTGCGTTCATAGAAATAAAGCCGGGGCTCATCTGAAGCATTTGGGCAAACTGAATAGAAGGCTGTGAGTAAGAGCTGTGGATAAAAACAGGTCAGACTCAAGAAGCCAAACAGGGGTCAGAGAGGCCCTTTTATAACCTGGTGCATCGCTTTGTGAATTTAGATTAACCCTGATCAGACTCCAAAGACATGATAGCCAGCTACAGGAAAGATCTGATACAGTTTAGTCTACAAGGTGGGTGTAAGCCTGATAATTCAACAATAATATTAAAAATTGAGGGAGGGGACTCCATGGTTTCCTCTTAACATTACCTGAGTATATCCAAGAGCTGTTTGACAAGCAATAAGCAGAGTCAGATTAAACAATCCTTTTTCCAACAAAGGCTACTGAGCCTCTTTCTATGCAGCTGCATCTTAGGCCAGCATATTAGTTATTTCAAATAAGTCCCTGTCTCAGGTGGGCTTCCCTGGAAGCAGAGTCTGAGATGGGGAGTGCTCTTAGGAGACAGGGAGAGATGCAGGATAGGGCCGGGGTAGAAGCTGAGCAAGGATGTGGTCCCCGCTGGAGCTTAGCTTCAACTCGATCTCGAGGGGAGCACTGGGCAGCAGCTTATACCAGAGCGGCCCCAGCTTGAGGGCAGGACCAGACCAATGCTCAGTTCAGAGAGGGGTGCACCAGCCAGGTGAGCAGCAGGACCTGGCAGATCCACTGTTGTAGCCAAGCTGACAGGACCAAACCTCTAGGAGTCATGCTGCGGGGGAGGAGATGCGGTTCTCATCCCAGCCCTGACCTCACTAAGGACATGAGGACGTAGCCTTGGGCCCCTCACAGGGTCTCTCTCTAACCATGGATTTCCTCACCTGTAAAATGGGATGGGGGTGGGAGCGATGGATTAGATGACTCCCATTCTCCCAGCTGAAAAATGCAAAGATTTCAATAAGGGAAGTAGCCGGGAGGCTCACCGAGGAACAATGAATGTTCTTTCTATTCGTGGAAAGGAGTTAATTAATGTAAATGTGTCCGCAAATGACCAATCCATTCAAAACTCTTCTCTCACCTGGAATAGCTCTGGATACACTGGCCAGCCTGAGAAGACAAACAGCAAAGTTGCCCTGAAGGCATGTGTTCTAAAAAAGGATGGTGAGGCTCTCTTTTCAAAGTGCTTTCAAGGCAGTTTACCTAAAGGGAGCGTTCATGCAGTCAGGCTATCTCATTTAAGTGACTCCCGCATCAAAGCGCATGAGAGGCAAGAGGCTGGAGTAAAGCGTGAGCCAGAAGCTGCCCCTGCAAAGCAGCACAATCTCCAGCGAGAAGAGCAGTTTGGCAAAAACCTGTCAGAATTATAGATACATTTACTCTTTGACTGTACAGCTCCCTCTCTGGGAATGTATCCTGTAGGTAGATATGCATGAAATGACATTTGTATAAGTTTACTCATTTTGCCACTTTTTCAAAAATATTCCCAAGGTTGCAAACAACTCAATGGTCCATCAATAAAGGACTAGTGATAAACAATAAGAACTATGGTACCTTCCATACAATAGAATACAGTGTAACCAAAAGCATCTGTACTGATACGGAGAGCTCTTCAGGATGTACTGAGAAGTGAAAAAGCGAAGAGAAGAGCAGCTCCGTCCTAGATCAGTGTGTGTATTAGAAACACATGTGCACGTATGAGTTTGTTTCTTTCTGTGTACATGATGGAGGTGATAAGATTATATATTCATATTCAAGTATATCCATAGATTTCTGAAAGTCAGTTTTTGTGTATCTGGAAAGATTTTTTTTTAAGCCTTCTATGAGTGTTTATCCATAAGGGATGAGGGGGAGGGAAAACGGGATGGATGACCTGAGAAATCCCACCAATGTCTTTTTGCAAAATTTCTTTCTGGATTTTTTCCCAACCACCATGGTTTTCTATAAGGAAAATGGAGCAGCTGTTGGATTAAAAAATAAAATGAAAATTTTAAAGACAGGCACCAATCAAAGCTAGTCTTTTTGACTTCCTTTATTTCATGCTGTAGTTCGGGGGTTGGCAAACATGGCCAGTGGTTAAACAGTTGAACGGAGACCAACTGGCTCCCAATGCTGAAAATGTTCACCCTCTGGCCCTTTACAGAAAGTATGCCAAATCATGGAGCGGTTAGTAAAACAGCTGTGACTACACCTACCAGTGAGCTTCAAGTACTGAAGGGTTTTGTCTTCTTTAAATCAGCTTTTCTGACCACAGATAGTTCCGCGGCCAGAAAAAAAGGCAGGATATTGCACAAGTTGCAAAGAGCATGAACTCCGGGGACAGACAGCCCAGGTTTAAATCTGGGCTTTGTCCCTCACTACTATGTGACCTTAGGCAACTAGCTTCTCAAACTCAGCATGGTTTTCATCCGTAAAAGGTGGGTAATAATGGTGCCTCCTACACAGAGTTGTTTGGAAGGTTAAGTATGTTAATGTTGGCAAGAAGTTGAGTGCAATACCTGTTGGCGTTATCATCTAATAGTTTGATTTTTCTACAAACAGGGTGATGACCAGTTAAATGTATTTGGAGAGGACACCATGGGAGGTGAGTTTCCTTTACTGATCAGACCAGAGTTGTCATTTTAGTAGCTCTGAGCTTGTCTATTTTATTAAACACCAACTAAGAGATAAACTACCAACAGTATGTACTTTTCCCTTAGTCAGGGAACATGAATAAGACGGGCTCTTTGGCTCTCTCCCCTCTTGGTCCACGTAAAGAACCAAAGAGATGCCTTACTAAGAGATGCACTTCCTCACTGCCCAGAGAACATGACCCCCAAGATGCTCAGTGAAGACAGAATACTGTGGGAAATACGTTTGGAAAACACAACACTCAATCCCCTTTGGAAGATTCACATGTATATTCGCACAGCAGGGCTCCCACATGTCCTGCGGTAAAGAGAGCTGACTAACTGTGATTCAACATTCTTCACATTTATTGGAACCTAGAAGTCTTTTTTCCTGCGTAGTGGTTACTATTCTGCAGTGAGCCATTGGGATGCAACATAAGAAACATCCAAATTATACTGCTTTATAGTTTTGTCATTTTAAGTCTTGTCCAAACTTTAAAATCCACGATAACTAGCTACACATGGAACTGAAAATAGATAAACTTACATGAATTTGAGGTTGTCTAAAAAAGATAAGGTTCACGATTGCCCCAGGAAAAATACCATTTAACATTTCCACTCTATAATAAATGCAGTTATAATTATGGTCCTTGGAAATATGTTTATATTAACTGTGAGCACATACAAGTAAGTGTATGTGCTTTCTGAATAACCCCAGCTGTAATCCTGCACTGATCCATGAGCATGAGGTGGCAGATAAAGTGTCATTTTATGAGAACGGCAATAGTAGTATGTGCAAATCACGGTCACCAAATGACATCATGCCGATTCAGAGCGAAAAGGCACATAAACCTGAGCCAAGTGCAAATAATCAGCTCAGTCCCAACTGGATAGGGATTGATTGATTGTCGAATAAAGTTTCCTTTTTTCCTGGTTATAAAATTAACACGCATTCATGTGAAAAAAATTGTTAAGGTGGAAAATAAGAACCATCTAAAATCTCATAACCTCTAGACAATCATGGTTTTAACATTCTGGTGTATTTGATTCCAGCGTATTTGTCTATATATCTGTTTTTACATAGTTGAGATACATGTGTATATACAGATATTATCTCCCATATTCTGTGCCTATCATTGGTATGTTCCCATGTCATTAAAAACTCTCTATAAACTTAATTTGTAGTGACCACATTATACGACTGTACCATCATTAATTTTAAAATAACTATTTTTTAAAACTGGAGTAAAATACAATCATGCTAATAATAATAATAGTAATAATAACCACAACCACTTTCCTAGATGACAAACAGAGTAAAAGTTGCTCAGCTTTATAAAAGGAAACTGGAAGTCTAGAGAACGTGAGATGACCATTTGGTCCCGCATGTTGAGCTACAGTGGAGCTGCCCTTAATAGAAAGCTCCAGATAAAATAGGAGTTTTTCAGTCACCATGGGCTACTTTGTAAAAGAGATTGAAGCATCTGATTTAAAAGAACAATTTTAAAAATCATCCTTTAGTGTGGAAATCAAATGTTTCCAAACCTTCAAATTCACTTCTTTCCTTTATTTCCAGCTCTTTCTCCCTTGTCTCCTTCCCGTTCTATCCCCAACTCATTTCTTCATGCCCTGTTCTCTCTCTCTCGCTCTTTCTCTCTCTGGTAGAGTTGGGCCTTTCACTCAGCCAATAGTGGATTCCTGCGAAAGTGTAACATTGTGTGTATAAACAGACCGCCCCAGCCCTCATGGCTACCTACTACACCGAGTGACAACTGGAAATCTTTTAGGGTTCCACATCCTCTACAGAGTGTCCAGTTTGCCAAAAACTCCTGATCATTCCTTTGCCCTAAAGCAGTTGTTCCCAAAATTCAGCCCTCACTCCCCACCTTTGTGACTTGTTTGATCTCTATGCCATCTGTACTATGTCTATTATGTATGACATCTGTAGTATATATAATATATCACAAAACCAGGATTTCAATACAATATTTCTTGCCAATAACTTAAATTATTCTTATTTTAAAGGTTTCACAGAAGATTTGAGAAAGTGTAAAATTATTTTCATAATCGGTGAGTAACAGCCCTCAAATTTTTTAACGTAATTGCTAATAATAACAACTTGGTAGAGAAAAAAGACTTTTCATTTCTCAGCCTGTTTTGAAGTCTTGCCCCTTTTGTAGTCAAGATAACACCCCCGAGGCTTCCAGATTGTTCACTGATACAGTTTTATATCAGTTTTGGCTTTGTATCTTTCCAGCACAAAGTAGGACTCGGAGGAATGTCAAACTCCTCCTGCGTTCAGCTCTGTAAAACAAAATGCGCTGCAGTCTCACAGGTAGAAGGGGGCCTATTAAAATCTAACACTTTTTCTGTTTGAACAATGACCCATTCCTCCCGAAATACGTCCGTGACCGCATATTCAAATATACCTCAGAAACCATAGCCTGCGTTCCATACAGCTAACAGCAAAAACAAGCTCATTTGCTTTATGCCCTAGGACGGTGAAACTCATTGGAAAACGAATTGTGGGACAAAATTCATTTGAACACCTGTCATATTCCAGGTTACCTCCTTGCCCAACCCTGTAGGTTGGTGGTCCTTCCCTGTTACATGGCTATTACACAGACGGGAAGACTGAGCCTCGGAAGGTTAAGGACCTCGTCCAAGGTCGCAGAGCTAATGAGTTTGAGAGCCAAAGTTCTAGTTTTCCTTGTGGGAATAAACGGGACTAGTTGTACAGCAGTTAGAATTACAGATTAGGACAAAATATTGTCAGAGCACCTCCCAAAACTTAGCGCTTTTCCCTCTAATCATTCAAGTCTATGGAAAAGTTAATACGGCTGCCTGTACATTTTTCAGAAATCTATTTGTATATAGAAATAATGGAAAAGTCCACACCTCCTCAATGAATCTGAAAAAGAATGGTTATCAGCAGACGAGAATTGTAATCAGATATAGCTAGAATCTCACACCCTGAAGGCAGGATGCTTGCTTGGAGATCTCTCAGTAAATCTCCCTCTTTGACAGATGAGGGAACTGAGTTGCAGAGAATTTAGGGGGTTCGATCAAGGTCGTTCAGACAACTAGCAGAGAGGAGACCAGGGTCCAGGGCTGTGAGTCCCCACTCCAGGACTCTCCCCACTCACCCCCGAGTCATGTGGGCTGCCACTGTAGACCGCCTCCCACACTCAGTCATCCCCCAAATACTGACTGAGTATTGGACCCATGCTGGGCCACGAGCAGGGATCACGGAGCTTTCATCTTAGAGGGAAAGGAGAACGAATCAAATGAAAAGCCTTAGGAAGGAAACAGAGAGCTGAAACAGAGAACACCTGGGTGGAGTGTTCAGGGTGAAAACGGGTGCTCAGGGAAGCCTGTGGAAGTGATGTTTAAGCAGGGAGCTACAGGAAGGGATGGGTGACTGAAGGGTTAGTGGGAGGTGAGAGGAGGGCGAATTCCAGCCGAAGGGAACAGCGCGTCTTAGGCAGCGAGAATTCTGGAGGGCAGCCTGAGATCCACTTCTGAGCCGCTCGTCTCTAGCTGACCTTAGCCTTGGGAACTGGAGAGACTACAGCCACACTTCTGTTTTACGTTCTTTCGGAAAGTAGAAGTCATTATGACCACTCTTTACTCAAGAGAAACTCATCATCATAACTTCAAAGAAAGTTCCCCTTCCCACACAGACTGCAGTCAGTTATCTTGGCATCTAGATAAGTTACGAACACAATAAATCACACTTTCTGTCCAGCTTTTATCTTAGGGGCCAAATTCGGGACAAGGAGACTCTTTAGAACAGGAAGTTCAGGAATCCAAAGAACGGACCTTTATTATCACTTAAAAATCTGTGTTTTTAATAGTGTAGTCCCCCCCCCCAAGAAAAGCCTTTGAAAACAGTACAGCATGTTTTGTGATGGTTGTTATTGTCTCTAGCAAAAATGTCATTTCAGATTTACTCGTAGTCGAATTTTGAAGTGTATTTTCAAAAACTGCTGCCATCCAGCCAGACCTCTCCAGAGATCTCGGCTCACCGTTACTAAGTCCTGTGCCCTTCAGAAGGTGAGCTAGCACAATATGAAATCTTTGACATCACACAAACCATAAGACCCGCCCCTGCAAGGGTCCGCAGACCCCACTAAGCACTGCTGCTCTGAGTAAAGGTTCTTCTTCTATCAGCCAAACTCTCCTGTATTTCAACTTGTTGGTCAGTCACTATTGTAGTAAAAAAGATTTCAGCTTACTGTGTGGGCAGTAGAAGGCACAAAGACTCTGCAACAAGGGGAAAAATGATTTTTCTTCTTCAGGCTATTTGTTGGATTCTGCTTGAAAATTAAGGCTTTAGTCATAAACAGTCAAGCCTTGAACAACATGGGTTTGAACTGCGCGGGTCCACTGATAACGTGGATTTTTCCAACAGTAATTACGACAGTACCGCACTGTCTGATTGGTCAATCCCCAGATGCGGAATCATGGATACACATGAACTGAGTATCTGGAGAGCTGACTATAAGTCATTTGCAGGTTTTCCTTTGCAGGGAGAGTTAGCACAACCACCCCCATGTTACTCAAGGGTCCACTGTACTTTCTTGGCAGCTGATATTTTGAGGCTGTATTGTTGCAGGTCAATTTGAAGCTCATAAAAATACTCGTGATGTCAGAGACACACCCCTAACAGTTTTGATGAGCTTCAACAGTCAGTTGATTTCAAAGAAGTGTGGTTTTGTCTGTATGAGAAGACAGCTAAATTTTTCACTTTGCAAATTATTGTCTTAATAGCTACCAAGTACGGTTGTAGTATAGCCAGAAGCTAGGTTGACATCCTCGCTGTTATTCTTAAGAGAAAATTAATATTCCGAAAGCATTCTTTCCCTGTTTTAAAGTATCCTGGTTCCCTTTTGTCCACTGACAGCTCCAAAGTCCTTTGACTGGCCTTCAGAGCTCTCTCGGTCCTGGCCTCAGTGTGTCTTCCCCCTTTCCACCACACCCCCACGTGCATCTTCAGCCTCAACTCCACCTGCACTGTTTTTCTCTCTTGAACTCTCCTGGCACTTGCCAGTCCTCTCACCTGAAATGTCTTCTCCGCTAGCTAATCATGCCCACGGTCAGGGTCCAGCTCGAGCTCTCTGTGAGGTCTCTCTAATCTCTAGCCTTCCTCCTCTGCGCTCCTCCATCCCTGTGTCTGCATCTCTCACAAAGATACCCCGTAATGACTAGAACAACAATTATTTGTTGGAATAATGAATTCTTTGGGAAGCAGTGTGGTCAGTTTCCATAACAACTGGAATAGCAGTCGGAACTCCTGGACTGGAGCTGACAGGCAGGCTGCCGCTGCTGTGGCTGCTTCTGGCAGGATGGTTGTCGGGTTGATTATGAGCCTGACCAGATGCTTCTTACCCCACGTGCCTGCCGCCTTCTCCCCGAGAGCAAGCAGCAACAGCTTCTGCCCACCCCCAGCTGGTGGTATTTCTTGCTCATTTACAATATGGTTTTAAGTGAGGGCAAGTAATAGCACTGTCTGCCGTCTGAGTGGGAAAATACATTCCAGGAAAATGAATCATCTGGACCAAAGGGGAAAGTGACAAGGCTGGCCCTAGGTAGCTTTCTGAATGTCGTGTGACTGTTATTACTTCTTCATTCATGAAGAAGGCAGCTCACTAGCTGTCTATAGAGAAATGCCTTCCAAAGGACAGAGAAAGGTCTCACAGGAGAGGGCTTGGTGATCAAAAGGACTGAAAAAGGCTCTGTAATTGTTCACAAACAAGATCTAAGAACTGGACTGATGTATAAGATTGGGACTCAATCGTTGCTGAAAACAGAAAATTATTTGGAAAAGGTAAAAATATCTTAAAGAGCCTCATTACAGCCCACTAACAGGCTCCTACAGTGTTTCACCTTTTCTGGCACATCTCCTTCCTTCTTTCTTCTTTTAAATCTTTTGATCATGATCTTGCTATTATCCAATCTATTTTGGTTTCTTTTTCCCTTCTCTGCTGTTCGTGGCCTGACTATCCCCAACGTTGGGGGACACGTGGCAGGCCGGTGTTGCGGGTGGTAAAAAGAATTTACCAGAAACCAAGAGAAGTTTAAGAACAAAGGGAAAGTTTAATAGTTATGCCGCTACAGGCAACAGCAGGCCACACAGGCAAGAGGTGCCTGCGTGCCCACCCAGTGTGGACGTGCAGGATGTTCTGCTGGGGAAGGGGCTGGAAAACACAGAGGGGTGGGGGGGGGCAGCCCTCTGATTGGCTGTAAGTGAGGTAAGGGGCTTTGGTGTACGGAGGATAGTGGACTTGACTACCACTCCAGTAAGATGGAGACATGCGCTCGCACAAGCAAGGCAGTGGGATTTACAGCTCCAATAAGGAGGAAAGCAGGCTGTGACAAGCCCACCTGAGCTGCAGTAAAGTTAGCCATTTCCCAGGGCTGCTAACTTTGCTAAGGCGAATACCCATCAGGAGCTTATCTTCCAAAGAGAGGCAGGCAGGCAGGCGCCCAAGGGCTGGAAGTTTGGGGCCGCAGGGCCTCGGCAGGTACCAGTTGGCGCTGCACCCACAATGTTAACAGAGCCTGAATTCCCATTAATTCTTATCCACGGCCCTAGTAGAAGTGCTTCAGTTTGGAAAATCTCCCTTTACGGGTGAGGTGTGGTGCTAACGGCATCATGATGACGACATCATTCAAGGGCTGTCGCTCTCATTAGCGCAGGGACACAGGTGGCCTTGTGTGCCCTGGTGTTGGTGCTGATAAGCTGCGTTTAGGGAGCAGGCTTTGGGAGGTACTCGTAAAATAGTCTGAGTTGTTTTGTGTGTGTTTTAACCACTGCACAACTAGTCCTATTTATTTCCTGGAGGAAGACTAGAGAAATGAGAATTTTTGCTTAAAACCCAGTATCTCAACGCCTGTCATTGTTTCACCAGAGCCCTGTTGTCATTTCATAGTTGCCCTGTTACTAAAGAACTATGAATAAATCTAATTTTTAGAGAGTATTTCCTTGGAGATCAGGTTGAACATTTCGGGTGGAACTGACTCACGTATTTGGTCAAATTACAAATGAAAAGCAAATCTGTTTTCAC